CTGTTCTTTAAAAAAAAAAGAAATTGGGGAGTGAGGGAAGGGGTGACATTGTCTAGGACATTGTACTCTTTACCTGACTTATATAACTATAACTTTTATAATAACAGTAAAAAAAAAATCGAGCTAGGTGCCAGTAGCTCATACCTGTCTTAGTAGCTACTCCGGAGGCTGAGATCTGAGGATTGTGGTTTGAAGCCAGCTTAGCAGGAAAGTCAGTGAGACTCTTATCTCCAAATAACTATAAGAAGCTAGAAGTGGAGCTGTGGCTCAAGCAAAAAAGCTCAGGGACAGCACCCAGCCCCAGAATTCAAGCCCAGGACTGGAAAAAAAAATAATCGATTCAGGTGGGTGCCAGTGACTCATGCTTATAATCCTAAATATGGGGGAGGCTGAGATCTGAGGATTGTGGTTTAAAGCCAGCCTGAGCAGACCAACCTATGAGACAGTTATCTCCAATTAACCAGGAAAAAGCTGGCCCTGAATCTGGCCTCTTACCATTGGCGATATGGCTCAAGTGGAATAGTGCTGGTCTTGAGCAAAAAAGCTAAGCAAGAGCATAAGACTGTCAGTTTAAGCCCTGGTATTGGTATGCATGCACACACGTGCATGTACACACACACACATGTAATTGTACAAAGGGATTTCATGGTGGTATTTCATATACTCAGATTATGAAAATGTTCTAAGACTGCCTGAAAGTGACTGTTGCACACATCTATGAATACACTAAAATTGGGCTGCACACATTGATGGATCACTTATATGGTATATAAAAAGTACCTCAACAAAACTGTTTTAAACACAAGTATATGAAGTCCTGACATTCCTTTCTGAAGGTGCTATTACTCCATGCTAAACAGTGCTTAAAGATCAAACATCCTTAAGCTTAAGGTTGCACCATTTAAGGAAAAAGTAGCATTCATGAGCAGTTTGAAGCCTTACCTTCTCACATACCAAGAAGAGCAAGGTTTTGCCGAATTCCTTCCCTTTGCACCCAGACTCTAACCTGGCCCCTCACCACTTTCTTTTTTTCATTCTCACTATAGAAACAATGGTAGAAATGTGAAGCATTTTGTTGTCCAGTTCTGTTTTGAGTGTGGAGTGTTTCTGTGGTGTGAAAGGGTGCTGTTTTTGAAACAATATCTTGGATTACAGATATGTACCACTGTATCTTGGATTACAGGTATGTACCACTGTATCTGGTTCAAATAGCTTTTATTTACTGAAAACAGCTTTTTGTGACTTTTTAATTTTGAAAGGTAATGCATCACCCTCAAAATTTTCTACACAAATAATAGAACCTTAAAATCTCATACTTCATTGCTATTATAAAGATGATATACAGAAGAGTTACAGTTACATAAGTCCCTTGCTCTCCTCCTACTTGGGTGATTTATTTATGTCTTACTTTCAATTTAAAGTTTAGGGTCTTTCTTAGGCGATATTTAAAGCAGACTGAATAACTTAGGGCCTACCAACAAGTGTTGTCTATAGACCTGAAACAGTATCAGAACAGCTTGTTAATAAGGTATAAATCTGAATCCAGAGCTACAGAATCAAAATTTGTACTTCAATAAGATCTCTAGAAAACTTACAAATATAGTTTGAAAAGCACTAGGGATGCAAGTAAGTAGTAGGTCCTAGGTTTGATTCTAGGTACCACAGGCAAACAAATGAAAATTACTGCAGTCCTAGACCAGGAAGGCCAAAGCAGGATCTTGGTCCTGAATCCTAGGCCATATAGGTTTTAGTGAAGTACAGGCATCTGCATTTGAAACAGGAGTACTATGGATTCTACCAGGGGGTCACCCAGCGATTCTACTCAAGAAGGTAAAATCTAGAGGCTCATGGTTCAAAGCCAGCTGAAGTAGAAAAGTCCATAAGACTTTGTCTCCAAAAAGACCAGCCCCCTCAAAAAAACCAAAAGTGAACAAAACAAACACCAGCCACAAGCAGAGCTGGAGACATGGCTAAAGTGGTAGAATACCAGTTAAGGAAGGCAGCTGAGTAATGAGGCCCCAAGTTCACACTTCAGTAGCACTTCCCCTCAAATTGAAGCCCTGTGTGTGAGCGTACACGCACGTGCGTGTACCCATTCTAGGACTTGAACTCCGTGTCTGAGCTTTTTCACTCAAATGGAGCCACAGTTCCATTCCCACCTTTTTCTGCTAGTTAACTGGAAATAAAAGTCTCCTGGACTTTCCTGTCCAGGCTGGCTTGGAACCACAATCAGATCTCAGCCTCCTGAGTAGCTAGGGTTATAGGTGTAAGCCCTAGAATGCAGCTTCAAAGCCCATTTCTTTAGAGCAGCTTCAGTATACTAAGAAATACTGCTATACAACCTTCCACAAATATGTTAAAGTGCAAATAAATTGAATCTACAAATTCATAGCCGTACTATCTTTCTCCCTTTTTCTGTTGTTGCTGGGGCTTGAACTCAGGGCCTAGGTGCTATCTCTTAGCTTTTTCAGACAAGGCAGGTACTCTACCACTTCAGCTACACACACCTTCAGTTCTGTTTTTTTTTTTTTTTGCTGGTTAATCTTGTCTCCCACGGCTGAACTTCCAACCTTGATCCTCATATCTCAGCCTCCTGAATATTACAGGTGTGAGCCACTGGTGTTGGGCCTACTTTCTTATAATAACCTGAATGAGCCCATGAAACAGGGATTCAGGTGAACATTCAATGACTTTTACAACTTTCACAGTACATTAACCAAGATAAATTTAAAATATTCCTAATCAAAATTTGCAGGCTTTCACAGGAAAACTGGTCAAATACTGTACTTCTAAAAAGTCCCATACATTTGGGAAGTACAGACCAGTTCTGTTTACTCAAACCTAGACAACTTCCATTAGACAGGAGTGTTTATGCTCACAGCACCCAGGCTCCACTCTGCTATCAAGTTAGTTCTTTTCTGCTGCTGGAAACCTTTGAGTTCCCAAACAGAATACAGGAATACAGGTTTCAGGATCCTGCAGACTCTTTCATAATGTTGAAGTAACACTATAATATATGGCTGCCTTTAAAAAGATATTGTAAAAAAAATTTTTTTTTTGGGTCTAGTCGTGGGGCCTGAACCCTGGGCCTGGGCGCTGTCCCTCAGCTCTTCATCTCAAGGCTAGCGCTCTACCACTTGAGCCACAGCACCACTTCCGGCTTTTTTCTTTTTGCTTATGTGGTGCTGAGGAATCGAACCCAGGGCCTCATGCATGCAAGGCAAGAGCTCTACCGCTAAGCCACCTTCCCAGCCCTAAAATTTAAACTAATTTTTTAGGACAAGCTGGTTTTGACAGCCCGGTATACATTTACTATGTGTAAAAGTGTTAAGATTTTGTGAGGAACGAAAGGTGATCAAGGTACCATCCGCGGCCTGCGGAAGAACCTGTAATGCAGAGAGGGGAAGTCAGGCTGGGACCATAGCACATACAATTAGCCGTTTCAGGTAACTAATGGCCCGATGGGGTGGCTAATGACTGTAATCCTAACTACTCAGGAGGCTGAGCTATGAGGATCATTATTAGGTTGGAAGCCAGCCGGGGCAGGAAAGTCCTTGAGACTCTGAACTCCAATTAACCACCCAAATGCAGGAAGTGGGAGTTGTGGTTTAGTGGCAGAGAATCGGGCTTGAGTGAAAAGGGTAAGGGGCAGTTCCTCGGCCCCACCCAGTCCTCTGTCCCGGAACCAGCGCAAACACGAAATAAAGAAATTCGGAAGATGGATATTGGAAGTTTCGGTGCAGAACTAAGCAGGGCAGCTTTAACAAAGCACTGAACCAGGTGGCACCGAGGCACAGCACCGGGGGAATGTGCTGACATTCTGAGACACACACTTAAAATACCGTTTGCGAGGTGCAGGCTCCGGCCCAAAGCAGAGCCTTCCCAACGGGGACGAGACGGAGGCGGGCCCGACACAGTTAAGTTCCTAGAGGGTGTTTTCCTTTGACAAAAACAGGAACCCTCAGCTTCAGAGATCGCTGATCAAGCGAGAAGGGAGGAAAGGGAGTGAAGATCGGTTTCTGTTTCCCCCCGGGGCACCTCAAGAGGGGGAAAACGCGCACGAAACCGGTTTCCCGCACGACTCCCCCCACCCTGAGCTCACCTTTCCCAACTACCTGGCCTCTGAAAAGCCCAGCCCGGGAAACCGACGGACCCGACCCGGTCGGTGTACCCGTCGGTCTCAGGTCCGAATCGGGACAAACAGTCCTCCCAGGGCCGAGGCTGCGGACCGCGCACGCACCGCCCCCCGCGGCCCCCG